ATAATAATAATAATCCATCGATGACATTCTGGAAACAGCTCTGATGAGTGTAAGTAATGGCGGTGTGGATCTGCTGCCTGGAGAAAGACTTCTCGACCTTGAGTATGCGGATGATATTGTCTTACTGTGCGATAATCCCCAAGCCATGCAATCCGCACTTAGTCAGTTGGCCATCAGTGTCCGTAGGTATGGTATGTGCTTTGCACCTTCGAAGTACAAAATACTTCTACAAGACTGGCAGGATCGTAATCCTGTACTCACCCTGGGTAGCTGCATAAGTGCTGGTGGTGGCGTGAGTGGTGAGATCAACGCATGTATAATGAAAGCCAGAGCGGCTCATGCCAATCTGGGCCATCTTTGGCGCCTTCGTGATGTTAGTCTGGCTGTAAAAGTTCGGATCTACAACGCGTCGGTGAGAGCAGTTCTGCTCTATTCTTGTGGAACCTGGCCTCTCCAGGTTGAGGATGTTTGACGACTCTCTGTGTTTGATCATCGCTGTCTCCGAAGGATTGCTGACATCTAGTGGCAACACCATGTTAGTAATGCAGAGGTTCGGCATCGTGTGTTCGGACACAGAGACTATAATGCAGTCGGTGTCACCATCTTGAAACACCGACTTCGGTGTCTTGGACATGTTCTCCGAATGTCGTCCCAGAGAATTCCACGTCGTGCATTATTTACCGACTCTGGGACTGGTTGGAAAAAGCGGAGAGGTGGTCAGTATATGACATGGTGTCGTGGGATGAAAGGAAGCTGCAAACGGCTGGCTTCTGTTGGTCCTTCACGACTCCCTGGTTGGGGTCCGAGAGATGGTGCTACACAGTGGCTAGAGACGTTATCATATATGGCTCAGAATAGAAGTCAGTGGCGATCCTGCTGTAACCTTCTTTTACTTTCTTCATAAAACGTGGTTGTATCTTCCTTAACTGAAAGATTTCTTCTGATTGTACCCTTCTGTTCCCCTACTATTACTATTATTATTACACTACTTTACACCAATCTCTTCGTTATTGTTTTTTTAAATATTTTTTTTTACGTTCCCCACTTTTTTCTTTTTCTTCTTCTTAAATTCTCATTGTTTTGTGTGGCGCATATATATTTGGCGCAATCCTGTACCAATATATATGTGTTCAAATAAATAATAAATAAGTCTTTTGAATCCGTTGAATAGTAATTTAGGGATTTTTGGGATAAGTTTCTCTGCAAACGCTAATTATTGCTTCAGGACTCGTCCGTTCATAGGGAGTGAAGTAGTGGATCGTGTTATCCAATCCACTTATTTTGGAGGCCTCATCAACCCTGATGCGTTGATTTCTGGTGACATTTTAAGATAAATAAATTGCTCACTTGTTTTCCAGTTTTCTCCACTTACGTTACAAGTAAAATGCCCTCGTGTTTCTCCAATTCAGAGTATACCGCACAGCGGTTTAACCTGTACTAATTTATGGGAGTGAAATATGGACTATAAAAGTTGAGGGTATGTATAGATTACTAGTATTTGAGGCAAATATAATAAGTTGATTGATAAGGCAGTAAACTTTGATGAGCTGAGACCATGTCTACTGAGCTGTGTAGTAAAATGCGGAATTCCTGTTTGAAGCTTCCGCGGTACTCACAATCTACGGTTGAATCTTTTCCAGGGTTTATCTCAAAACTGGGCTCAGTGACGTAGTTGGATCCTTTCTTAAGCTGAACACCATTCCATACTTTTGTTGCACTATCTCATCCTTCCTATTTAAGTTATACTTTATGCTTCACTTTCCAATGCAGTCGATATGGTCATTTTGTCTTTTGTTTATTTTTTGGTGGTTCCCTTTCTTATTATGCTGATACAAAATTTTGCAACAGGAACCAATACATATCCAGACGAAGTCCTACATTATTGGTAACTGACAGACTATTTTACCGTTTTCTGCTTACTATTATATCTTAATCATAATTAAGTTTCCTATGAAAATAGTGCAAACGTTTTAGTAACTTGTCTTTTGAATCTGTATTTTAAGTTGTAATACACCTGTTCAGGTTGTAATATTCCAGTTGATAGAGAATTCAAGTTCTGACCCCTTACTACCTTGTGTGAATTGTTTCTCCAAATCTCGCTTTTCATTCGTTGATTATACGGCGTCACCCATGATAGTCAATTACCACAATCTGTGTAGAATCAGTCAATTACATCATTGAATAAAATATTTATCGATTTTATTTGTTGTAATATAGTTCCCCAGTTATACATAATAAAGAATTAAATAACTAGTACTACACATTGAGGTAACTAATTTTTGCAATTATCCTAACAACTTGTTTGCAAATTGAAATGTTTTCACTCAAATATTCTATGTCAAATCTTTTAATAATCAACCTTTGTTTGTATCTTCTACTAGCTACAAATGCTTGTTTAACAACTGCTGAAATGTATAGTCTACATTTTTTAAGTTACATTTCTCAGGTATTAAATACTGAAGTACAACAAATTGATGACTTAGGATTAACTCAGAAATTTAAATCTATTTTTTAATGGTTTATAATTTCATCATGCAAACCAGACTTCATAGTTTAGCAGTTATACTAAGTAATGAATTAAAATTCAGTCATACGGTATGTTTCCAAATACTCTGAAATTTCTAATATAAGCGGGGTTCGCATTCTCTTTTAGATAAGAATGCAAAGCATTCGTTGAATATGACTTAGGAGGGACCAATATAACCATTTTTAAAAGAACAATTAAACTGATGGATGCGTTATTTGATGATCTATGAAAGATAAATTGCCGTTTTCAGCCATATCAATGTGTGCCTGCTAGTGTTCTTGGTCTTGTGGCTATGGTTATATTGGGCACACAAAACATGCTCTTTTCTCAAGTGAGATTTATCTAATACAGCTTTATGATTTGACAGTATTTGAAAAAAAAAATCATGCTTCTTAACCGATGTCAATCCAGAAAGTCATAAAATTTTCAGTTGTTAGAAATATTTGTTTAAATTACTTCGGATAATAGAGGTTACAACTGTGTATGGAGAATAAGACGCTGAGTATAGTCATATGAACTTTTATCAATAAGTATTTTCTTGATATTAAGCTTATTTTATTAATCAAAAGGGAATGAGGTTCATCTAAAGTCATTGTTAGCCGAATCTGATAAACATTCAGTCTACAGTATAGAACTACAAACTGTTTGTCGAAACCTCTTCACTCCATTCATCATTATCCCACTATATTCTTGAAAAAAGTGTGGTTATTTTATTTATGGTTATGACTTAGTATAGCTATTTTATATAGTCTCACTGTAGTTAATGTTTTGTCAAATAACAAAATATCTTGAGTCCATGATCGAAAGAAGCGACAAATTAACTATTGCGAGAACTGGCGCTACTTTCTTATTGTAGAGATTATGCGATCATTTCGTTTAGTGTGATAACTGATGTCCAGAAAAAACTGGACGGTAAATTAGGCTTAGAGGTACATCTCTCAGAACCTCTAACCGGATTTTGTAAATGATGCCAAAGGATGAATTTGAAGCTGAATATCCTTAATTTACTACATGTTACAGAATAGATGATATGACTAACCTGTTGCTGAGTTATGCTTATGGTTGTTTCCGAATAGGATGAAGAAAAGGTATCGCCAAAGGATTTATGTACCAGAAGAGTAGGTAAGTTGGTATATATACACATTAAATCGGTCTGTCATGGGATTCTATCTTTCACATGGAGGTATATAAGAGGATAACTACAGTAGGTTAAACTGATATTTACTGTATTAAACGTTCTAGATGACTCTTCATGACAAGATAATCTATTCTGATATCATACTAAAATTGTGCTGGTATTAAAATCCAATTAAGTTTATCAATTGTACTGTTTTTACTGTAAATCAGCTTTTTTATTTCGGATGTATCGATAGTTATTATTAAAAATGTAATCTGTTATGCATTTATCTTATCATAATTAAGGTTTTTTGAAATTTTTTTAAAATTAATGGATGGTGTATGAATATACTTGCTATTGAGAATATAATTGGTTCGATTTCTGTCTATAATAGTCATTAGGTGGTTTTCCATTCAAGTCAGGATGTTTCAAAGAGTAGGTAGTTTTTTTTAATGCTTAATATTGGGATCATTGATGTGGTACTGGTAAATTTTCAGTTCAAAATGATGTACTCATTCTAACCAGGTTTTACTGACTGGTTTGGTTTAATACTCCCAAATTAGTGAAAATTCATACAGTTTCGTTCACTTCTACTCTGTAGTATTAGTTATAATGTATGATCGCTTTGAAAAATGGTCAAATAGACTAGAAGTATATATTACTGAACTACATTCAAATATGAATGATGGACATGCTTTCTCAAAACACTCTACAAATTTTTACATTTTCTTTAGAGTGATCGTCTTTTTCTTTATGCTTTTTTACTTATTATCTTCGATTAATAAAAAATCTGCCAATATATCCTTCTTTTTCTACCTTCTTTTGTGGAGTTAATGAAGGGTTTTCAATTGATAAGACTGTTAGTTTTTTATATTGACTTGCAATCAACTCTGTGATTCTTATATTTTTCTTTTTTCTGCCTCTAAATCCAATCGTTTTAAGTTTTGATAGTTGTGTAGTATCATTCAGATGTCAGTTTCTGTGTGCGATTAAGACAATTTTAGTTTACTTGCCTATCTGAACTTTCATGTCTTGTGCATGAATTACTTGTGTTATTGTTATCATTATGTATTCTGTACTTAGTACTATAGTCATATACCAGTTATTTCAATAAACGTAAGTAGTTTCGTTGAGCATAGGCTCAGTGGTTCGAACGTTTGACGTTCAACCACCAAGTCACCCCATCAGGTTCCACACTATTTCTTCGTGGACAACCATATAGTGTAACTAACTCACACATAAAGCTTGCCTCGAAGCCAAGGGCATGAAACTGTACTATGATATTCTTTATTGATTTCGGTGATCAAATAATTTCATTAACTGGATCGTTCATTTTTATTACTCTTTTTATTTCAGCTCAAAGGATATATCATCGTCCCCCGGTAGTCATGTTGTTCATTCATTAAAATCAAATGTAGATGGTAATTCATTAAAAACTGTATTGTTAGATGAAGATTTGAATGTTCACTTACATTCAAATGTTTTACCTAATTTGACTCCAGATTGTACAACAACAACAACAACAACAACAACACCGTCTACCATTTTGGTTAATCCATCTAGAATCAACACTTTGTCGTTTAATACATCCAGTAATCCAGTCAACTCTGTTATGGGTAATCAACATGATACTCATGTTCCTACTTCTAATGATTCAATTAAACCACCAATAAATGTCAATATTGATGTAAGCAAATTTCGAAGTATAATCTTTAAATAATTCTTATCACTTTGTAACATCGTTATTCTTAAAATCAAGTGAAGGCTGGTAATAACCGTATGTTTATTTTTCATAAATGTTCGCGAAAAATCCATTTTATCCTGATAAAATTAGGTTTATACTTTGTAATGTAACTAATAGTCAATCATAAAAATTATGCAGGGTCTGGCACTAATCTCAAATATCAGGTTTCAACACTATAACTTAATAGAGGTGCTCTCATAACGCGATTTACTACCTTGGGTCCGGTCACTTATTAGATCTTTGGATACCCTATCAAGACCTTTCGTACTTAAATAAATTTATTATTTCAAAATACCTGATATTTAGCGTTCCATCAATTGATACCAGTTAGTAATGATAACTGTCGTCGAAGTAAACAGGTCTACACAGACACCAAATTGATCACAATCTTTTATATTTGTTAATAAAGTTGATTAAATCATTATTCGTAGACTTTACGGTTAAAGTACCTGCCCTACCTACTTTTGTTTTGGAAACCTTCAAAAAAGAAATGTGTTGTTCCATGACGGGTCGAACAATTTTTATTTTTATGGTCAGTTGCATAAGGAAACTTTGTTATCAATATATAAACACAATATAGACTACGAGATTAAAGGTGGAAACTTATTGAAATTTCTTGTTATTACTTGTAAATTGTAGGCAATAATAGAATTCTGCTTCGCCTACTTCGGGTAGTCGGATGGTGTTATTGACTTTGACACAAATAAAGAGTATATCAAATCTGACTACATAAATCTAGACTTGGTAAATGAGTTAATTTAGTTAAGTTGATTTCGAATAATACCTGTTTCCCAACTGCCTGTATAAAATGTTAACTTATTTCTCTCCTAACTCCTAATGATTATTTTTGTGCAGTCAACGATTTTAGAGCCTTCTTTAACTGTGTCCAAATGAATTTATCAATGTTATTAACAAATCTACCGCTGATACGATACGTAAGAAAATGTTTTGACTATGCAAGTGTGTTAATACAATCACTAGTACTCCTTTGTTGCCTTTGTTAAATGAATGTCATTTCTATCATTCATACAAAATTGCATTCTAAGTTAATTACCTACTGAGCTTACTGTTTGTTCAACGCTCATTAATGCCACACCACTTTTTAATGATTATTTATCATTCCACTTTCACTAAAAATATGTTTCAAATGCATACAACCTGCTTCTAGTAATTTGTATTCTTTTTTTCTCCCTCCTTCTCTCTCTCTCTCTCTCTCTCTCTCTCTCTCTATATATATATATATATATATATATATATATATATATATATATATATATATATGTATATATATATAGAAAACGAGGAACGTTTCCGATCCTACGCCACCATGTTTATCATCATCAAAACTGAAAATGAATTCATCACCACCAACATCTACACTTGCAATTGATAGCAACGATCAAATTTTTAATAAAGTTACTGAACCAACTTGTATACCCATTTCTACACCAAATACTAGAAATTCCGCATCCATTTCTCGTGCTCCTCTTCTTCATTCTTCTCCTTCTCCGATAACAAATACTTTATCGGAAAATCCTCAAATCAGACAACGTAATGTTACTACTACTACTACTAATGCCACTATCACAATTGATAGCAATATTATACCAGGTGCTACTGGTTCAAAGGTGCTCAGATCAAAATCACATCGTCTATCAGTGGTTAAAAAGTAAGCCTATGAATTAATAATTTAATTGTCAAATAAATCATACACATAAATTATATATCTATTATAATTACGACATATTTAACTATAATCAGAGAGGGATTTTGCGGATATTACAGTAATTTGATTATTGAATTCATGAGTCAATTGAAGTTAGACCACTATAGAAAACCTGGGAGCACTAGATGGCCGTTTCGTTCTAGTATGAGACTCCTAAATAGTGCGCATCAACGATCCTGCCTCGCGAGTTCGCACCCAGGACCTATCAGTCTAGTGGTTAAGCGCTCGGGAGCGAAACTAATAGGTTCAGGGTTCGAATCTCGCGAGGCAGGATGGTAGATGCACACTGCTAAGGAGTTCCATACTAGGACGAAACGGCCATCTAGTGCTCCCAGGTTTTCTATAATGGTCTAACTTCAATTGACTCATGAATTCAACAATTAAATTAATATTTAACTATACTTTCCGTTGTGTAAACTGGTTATGAGCAAATATCATTACAGTTAATGTGTAGATTTCTCTATTGAAATGATTTATATTCAACTGTTCCCTCGTAATTTTTCAATCCACAAATAATATTTTAATTTCAAATTTCGATTTTGGCTCTGAACTTCTTTTCTGTCAAATAGTGTTAGGTATTTTGTTTTCTAAGAAAACTTTTTAAAACTAGTTTATACATTTTTTTTAGTCATATGTGATATGTAGTCATTCTACTCATATTCTGTTGACAGATTAATTACCAACTAGGTGAGTTATGTATGCAATATAAGACTTGACATACTTGGTAAATTAAAACAAAATAACGAAAAAATACATGTCTTGTCACCTGTCTATAGCTACGTAAATTGAGTTAATGCAGTTAGTAAACTCAATGCAAAGTTCTTTTTCAGCCGAACTTGTAGTTTTAGCCAATAACTTTTGATCCAGCCACGAATGTCGAGAAAGCCAAAGGTTTATTTTTTTTCCAACCGATAATACAGAAAGAAAGGCGTATGTATTTATAAAAAGTTTTCGACGTTCCTTCGAGAATAAGCCGGTTAGCATACGAGCTTCATAAGGTTTTATTCAATAATGCGTAAAAGGTTTAAGTTCAAAATGGCAATTATTATGAAATTCTGTCGTGGCAGAACAGGGAATATTTTTATTCAATCTTTATACTTAATGCGTTTCCCGACAATATTTTAAAGCAAAAGAGGAAAAACCAACGATATTTAGTAAGTTTTTTCTGGTTGAGGATATTTAAGACAAATAAACTGATTAGGTGATTTTACGTCATGCGATGGGTATTTCTGTGTTTAGTTCACTTAGATTTATGCTATTTATAACATTTGCTCATCGTATTCCACTCTTCTGACTTGACACAAACTGATGGGTCTCACTTTATCTTCATGAAACTACAAGTGTCGCAAATGGCCAAATATCTACTAAGATTTTATTGATCACCATTATGTCAAATCTTCAGATAAATGAAGTTCAAAGTCTGAACATTACTATCACCATTGTATTCTTCTGACCAGGCTAGTCGTAAAGATATTTTTCTAGTAACATGAATTACATAGTGTTTATAAAGGACGCATGAATAAAGTTAAACAGTCAAATTTATGAATTTGCACACGCTCATCATAACCACTCCATACCCACCATTTAGAATGTTACATTTAAGTTATTATCGTCAATATATTGATTAATGGTTTTGAAAATTTTAAGTTGCCACCTTTTAAAGTGTTCGTTCTTCATTAAACTTATGTTTCCCTAACACTTTCCATCATTTAAGGGCAATTTATATCACTAACTGACATCAGGTAGAAAACCACTGAAAATAGTAAAACGTCGACCGTTTGTATCGTCATAGGTTTGGATACCACAACAGTTCACATCTACGATTTTGTATTCGATCAAACTCAAAACATTCCATTCTCATCAAATACATAATATCTTTCCACAGTTATCTCTAAATTTAAATGTTCGGTTATTAAAATTCAGTACATTTGTCATATAATAAACAATATGTGCAACCAAATATCATTAGGTTAGTTTCTGTCTTATTTTCAATGTAGTTGACTCCACATATCATGATTTCAGACAATGTTAGTTTGTAATTGTACACAATCTTCATCAAACCATCTTAATAAACTATGACTATAGTTTCTACTAACTTCTATATGTATATTCCTACTTATAACTAGTTTATCTATGAGATACTTGTCAAAATGATGTAAATTGTTTGAAGTAAAATTTTTCTGTTTAATACTATTTAGATTAACACAACTGAAATGGATATAATTAAACAAGTTTCATAAAAGGTTGTACAATTTAATTTATTCAAATTCATTTAACCGTGAACAGTTCTTGTTCTTATCTGTGCTGATTGTTTTATTATGGTAAAGGACTGACTTCACACCCTTGTTACATCGACTATGGTAAAAGATTGTTGAGTGTTTTATTTTAAGTTTTAATCGGAATAATTGTATACATGAATATACTTACTGTTTAGACGTTTTTACAAAAGTTTGTTGTACTTACTATTAACAATTACTGTAATTTAAATGAAATTTTAATTTAAGGCAAAGTACAATTAAGTTATGTGTACTTTAGTAAATAATAAGGTTTCAGGAAAAAAATTAGTTAGTTTTATGAAAAAAAGGAACCGATCATCTGATTTCCTTAAAAAATTATATTTGCCATAAGCCTAGTCTTGATATCGTTACAATTTATACCCTATTACCAACTCTCGTCACATTATTATTATTATTATTATCGTCACACTTGTGTTTCTCCTAATTCCTGCTTGCTCTTGTCATTTCTCTTCCACAACTGAAGTATTTCATTGTCAATGAAATTGTATTGCTTTTAGTTACTGTAGCATTAGTTATAGTCAGCTGTTTCTTTTTCCATTTTTTTCAACTGAAAGCTTTCAACCTTATATCGAATGTTTTAAAATTTACTTCAAAGGAAATCTTTGTATAGTAATAATAATAATAATAATAATAATAATAATAATAATAATAATAATAATAATAGTTATGTTATTCTTTGTCTGGCCTAATTGATCTACGTAATTAACTTATTAATTAAGTTTAATCACTGAATGTTTGTGAATAACCTTTAGCAAAGGTGTAATTAGCTTATAATTTTATGTCATATCAGTTGACGAGGCTTTAAATATTCATGAGATGACATGGCTGGTTCATGTATTGTATATGCACAATCACCTCGATGTGTGATACTGGCGTAAGTATAGGTTGAAAGCTGGGGACGGGAAAATCAAGAAGTAAGATTAGTCCATGAAGTTGTTGACTACTAGTCTGAGCCATTACCATAGCTGTAGACCATTACTACCGGTTGACTGAGTCCTAAGGTTGTTAGTCAACAGTGTTCTTCTAGTTCATACACTCACCTGTCTTTGTTCTAAACAAGTACAATTTTCTTGATTGAATTTTTCGACAAAATCAATATTGATTATTGATGAATTTATCTTTTCATCATGCAGATGGACCCACCTTTTAATATTCTTACAGATCTTAAACGTATTACTATTCATTGTTTACCTGCTTCTTCGGTTTATGAAATCATGAACCGATTTAATTTAAACCAACATTAAAAGCTAAAAGCACTGGACTGTCGTTTAATCTTAGTATGGGATTCTTCAGCAGTGTGCATTCACGATTCTGCGCGCAGGATTCGGACCCACAACCTTCGCTTTTGTGCACAAATGCTTAGTCTCTCGACCACTGAGCGGGCATCTACCTGTGTTAAGCCGCAACCTCAATCAATCTGCGACATCGCGCGACCATTTTCGATTGTCTTATGTTGCTAATATCTTCAATTTCCTTCATTCTAACTTTCTATTTATTAAACCCAATTTTCTGTTCTCATTTGAATTGTGGCTTATTGAACTAATTTGTATTCTTGCTTTTTAATTCTGTTCATTTAACATCCTAGCAACCGGAGATATTTTACTGACTAGTATTTGGTCGGTGATAATGAAGAGATTGGAAGTTAAGCTACTACTGAAGAACTGGTTCACCATTCGACGTCTTACTTTTTGTTTAATCAACCTCGTAGTAAAAATGTATCTCTTACGCCATTGTAATTCTATACTTATTTTACTTGTATCTATGCTACTTGTCATTCTGATTAAATTCAATATGGTTTCCGTACTTCTTCGCCTTATAGCTATAACTTTTCTCATATGAATATATTTTCATCACACAAATCTATATGTGTTTATCTGAATGATTAAAATCCTGATCTCTGTTTATTTTTACTTTCTTAACAGATCTCATCCATGGATGCGTTATACATTTTGTTCACTGACAGTATTTTTGATTTATTGGCTTTTTAATGGTTTTCTATTGGGTCTAACTGTTGGTTGTATACTAACATATACATTCATTACAGTGTATAATTATTTGCATAGTCGTACAAACTATTCTAATCAAATTCTCTGTCCAATATCAGGATTGCCATTAGATCACTTATGCTGTTCACTGCATTATCGACAAGAACAAGAGGGCCAGTATCAAGGTTCACAATGGTGGCCAATCTATTCACCTGCTATGCCAAATTTAACTTCTATTTTAACTAACAACGCGAACAGTACTAATAAATGTATGCAGTTAAGAAATTTGCCTAATTTCACTGTACCAAATATGCTTGAAGAAGATGTTAGCAAATCAACTATCTCAGGTCCATTGGGAAATAGTTTAGGTTTTAAATATGACAATAATGGACGGCCCGTATACAAAGGATGGTTAAATGAGGTAGGTTATTAGAAGAAAATAAAGACTATCATTTTAATCAAATCATAATAAATGTCCTAGTTCTTTAATTTATAGTCGCTTTAAAGCTCATGAAAAACATGTATTCACCACTGATAAATTTTAAATTAGATAAGTGTTCTTTTGATATACTGGCACATTCAACTTTGAAGTGTCATCAATGAAATAATACGTTTCATAGAAAGAAAGAAAAAAAGAATAAATGAAGTCCCTTATTTTTTAGAAAAAAAATTAATCTCAATGTGCATGTGTAACTAGACATCATCAGTATATGCTATAAAAGCTCCTATTGCTATCAATTTAACATAAGCTACAAACAACAATAATCACTTGTTACGATAAATCTAACAATTAATTTCATTGTGATAGAAAATCATGGTTTTGCTTTTCAGGGAAATAATCATTAATAAATTGAGAAAACAAATTTGCCCTAATGTGATAACTAATATTCTTAATTTATGTCATTATCAGTTGTTGGTAATCTCGTTAATGATGTCGTGTAACTTTCCATCGTTTATATTAAGGACTACAACCGATCATTCTCTGTCCTCATATATTTGTGGTGGATGGATTGTTTCGATATGGATTTATATTTAGTATGTGGTTGGCAGTGGAATTCAGTACGCGGTATTCAGCCTTTTTGGTAGTCATCAATCGGATATACTCTCATTACAGTGTTGATCTCTACATTGACACTCAAATTCAGTACCTGTCACTTCGAACCCTTGACATAATGATATATCGAGATAACTCACTCACTAAATGATACACCTCAACTTATCTTTCTGTTGTCTAGTGTTCAAACTCATCTAATCACAAACTAACTCGGCGATCAACAAATACCTGTTCATATTTTAGACTTAAGTATAGATTTTATCGTGAAAATTAATGATTCTAGGTGGAGCATGATTAGTACTTGCGACTTAATAACTGAAACATTGACCTTAACAACTGTATTGATTTCATGCACATAGTTTCCTTTATCAGCTTAAAGAGAGCAGAAATAAAACGTTGAGCAGTATATCATGAGCTCATTTTATTTCCTTTGATTCTCGTCAACTGCTTAAAAACTGTAACATTTAAAAATCGCTAAATGGGTTTAAATTATTTACAGTAAGGAGTTTCTTAGAAGTTTGAATGATCGATACAGAGGTAGTGGCAATAGATTCTTGACTAGCCTAATAAACTCTCATCAAGTAATAGCTTAATAAAAATAATGCTGCTAAACATGAACTGAGCAAGTCGATATGATTCCTAATCTTTGAAAAAAATTCCATTAGTTTATTTACATTTGTACTACATACGTCAATAGACATTTGTTTACGTTTAAATGCTGGCAGTGGTGCCAGAGAAGTCCTACTCACTGCCTCCTCGCGGAGGGAATGTTGTTTGTGAGATTGTGAGGACGAAAAGCGAATGTCCGGCACTTTAACTGGGTTGGTGAATACGGAGGATCCACCTAGGGGAGTTGGAAAACCCTGATTCCAAACCAATAGTGCACATGGGCTCTAGTATCCTAAGAGAACAAATGGAGCATGAACCTATTGTTGGTCACCGGCTACCATGGGACTGCATCTCCTGACGTTGCTCCACTGCCTCATGGATTAGACATTCAGGTCAAGGGCCCGGGTGTAATGACCCCTTAAGGAAACCACCTACTACGGTTTGGACACCCGGGTATTATCCCAGCCCTCACACAAATCGAATGATAAAGTGTGACACTCACATATTTGAACCTCCTTGTGCCAATATTTATATTTTTAAATAAACAAATGAAATAAGTACGAAGTATTTATCTGTTTTTTCCCTTAATAAAGTTGTCATATACCTTCTATACCAAATAGTATGTGTATCTATTTTTCTACAGACTATTCATTATGATCCTGAAACTCATCATATTGGCAAAACATTTTCTGTCTTCCTCACGCTTGATGGTACACAATTACGCCTACAACGCCCAGAACATAATATTACTCGTAGATCTTTATGGAATGATGAAATCCCATCAACTACAACTATGCGATTCAAACAACAGCATATTTATGATTTAACTAATGCAACTGTTACACTCCTTCCATATGGCTTAGTCGGCAAACGTCTATGGAGTAGAAAATATCCTATTTGTATCACCGTCTACACTGAAGGTAGATTCAAGGTAAATGCTAACATGAGAGTTATGTTTATCAATAATTGATCTTTTGTTGTAAATTGTTTTTTGTACATATTACGCCACACGTTGCTTTATGTCAATCAGTCGTGTGCAACGTAAAACCTGTCACATAGGGAGATACAATTATTTCAAGGCAAATACCAGAGTAGTAGGAGTAGTAACAGCATCAGTAGCAATATAATAAATTAGGCATAGAAAAAAGGGTCTAAGGAGGTTTCAGGACTCAGGGAAAGATAAAGATTGAATGCACCTGCACCATGAAATTTCAAAGTCTCCAATCACTGGTTATAATAATCATGTCGACCCCAACCAGATAGTCTACACCTACTCACATAGCTAAGTTCACTTGACAATGACTTCATGGACTGGCGCCATATTTTGGTTTAACCGACCCCAGTTTTCTCCCAGCCTACTCCTAGATCAGATAACATCGCTCTTCGAGCTAGCATGTGGTTTGGCATATGAAACACATGTCCCAATTTCCTTAGTTGACGAAAATCTACTGCGTCATCAACCAATTTGCCATCTTCATTTAGTACCTTATGCCTAACCTTAAGATTCCTCACTCATTGGTCCGAAAATGCTCAAGTAATGCTTTGAAGTTGCTGATATTTGAATACTGGTAACCCACGAACATTCTATATTCTCAAGGGCCATATTTCACATCTTTAAATTAAAACAAACCGAACTGTTTTGTGTTGACTCGTCCTTTGGTCGGTAGATAAAATCTGTCCAAGGCTTTACAGAATATATTTTTTACGAACTTAATGTATGCTATATTGTATATCAGTTTCTCTGACCATATCACTTTATTTCAAAGTATTTCGCTTTTTTTTGTATGTAACTTTAGTGTCAATACCTGTTCGCCTTGTTTGGATCTTAAAGACTTTTTCACTTTAATTCTCAATTACTCGACTAAAGAACGTTTGAAAATCATTTTAGCCATGTTTTATTTTGAAATGTATTCCGTAACAGTTAATAGAAACATGATGATATTAGAGAGGTTTTGATAACTACATCTCTAGACCCAACAGTTAGGGACTTATTTATGTAATTGTTCATAGCTTTATTTATGTTATCAATAGATGTATTGTGATTGCGGAAAGAAGCCTTGTGGATTCAGGTTTCAGAAATGAGACAGCTATTTCCCAAACTATAGGGAATTTTTACTACATACTGTAAAACCTAAAAATGTTGCGTCAGAAAATAACTCATAAATGCATCAGGATAGTTTGATTTCTTCCAGTGTATTCTTGTAATTTTCAATTTACTAGTTTCTTTGTCTATAAATTATGATTTGTAGGTTATTTTTATTTGGTCTGGTGTTGGTAGTTTCAGGGAATAACTTCTGATCATTCTATGACTAAGAATAGCCATGCACAAATCATCCTGTCAGCTACATTCCTTCACTTTCCTTCATCATTAAAATGATGTTGTTTTCTGACTTGACATTCAAATATTCCATTACGAAGTACGTATGTTATAATGAAAACAATATGAATTTGTAAACTGTAAATCACAATGTTTCACTCGTGTTTACATTATGATTTGTTTGTTTTAATGAAAAATACATTCTGCTCTTTTTCTACAGCGCAAAAATGAAAGACTTGATTCACTACCATCATCGACGAGCTTTCCAAATATCATATTATCTACTAGCTCTAATATAGCAGTGAATGAATCCTCTGACTTGACCATGGATACCTCTATTCCATCAGCTGGAGATATGGAGTTCCCTGATGATACTAGTATCAATGTATTGCAAACTTCAAGCAAATCAAATATGAAAAATTTATATTTGTTTGGAAGAACATGTCGCGAAAAAGAAACATGGTACCGTAGACTGAAAGCTGCCTCATTGGGCACACCCCTTATATGGACACCTCAGATGGTAAGAAAATATTTTTTTTAGGTATATTGCAAATTGACAATTTTTTATAAATCTCATTGACCAGGTGACGTAATAATACCTTGAAAAAAAAGTTCCGAGACCACATTTTTGGAATTACATTTTGTGATGTTTTAAGAATTTTTGTCAGTGATCTTATGGATATGACGTAAATGTGACCAAGTAATGAAATTACATTATATCACAAATTGAGATAAGCTGAAACAAATTATTCTTCTAATGTTCAGTTACAAAGTCTAAATTGCATTATTTTCTACTGAAACTGATCACTGTGTTCTACTTTAAAATACTTGTTATTCTGTGTGACACATGCCTAGCATAAGTTGGTAAAATTCTAATGGCATACAACTGTAATTTCGATCTAATAAGATTAACTCGCATGTCATTTTGCTTTCTGAATTTCCTAGATAATTTTTGATATGTTAATCAATCAAATTATCTCAAATATTCTAGAACTATCAGTCCAAGCAATTACAAAAGCCCCATTAAAACCCTGATGCCTAAATTCTTTCACATTGTGAACGGATTATTAGATAATGACTGACAATTCATTTTCCAGCAATAACAGTTTAAACTTAGACATTGATATTGTTAGATTACCAACTCAGTGGTCTAGAGATTAAGCGCCCGTGAATGTGACCGAAGGTCCTGGGTTCGATTCCTGAGCGCAGGGTCGTGGATACACACTACTGAGGAGTCCCATGCTAGGACAAGGAGGTCGTCTAGTGCTTCCAGGTTTCCCATGGTGGGCTAACATTGTTCGATTCATAATTTAAATGAAATAACAATTTTGTTTACATTCACCAAATTGAACTATTGGCTGGATCATTACCCATAAGTAATTCTAAGCTTAGCAATTTTGTTTTATTCCTCCAACGAATTTCGATCTTGGCCATATCTTTGGATTTATAGTTGAAGAACCTGATGAGAACTTATTGAGAAGAATATTCTTCACATATATATATATATATATATATATATATATATATATATATATATCGAGTTCTTTTTGTAATGTGATTGGGATTTTTCAAAAAGATAGCCCCAATCGGTACTAGGCACAATTGCTTTCATTATATGTAGATTGGTTTCATTAGTCACTATATCATCAATGCTTACATAATCACTTTCAGTTTTCGTCCCTCACATCTAATTCGTTGATAACACCACATAATGGTGAAGCTTTATGTACTGTCAAATAAATTATTTTCACTTTTTGTTTAACCCCAATTTTTATCAGTAATCTATTGAGGTATCTTTTAATTGTGAAATTCATGATCATGGTGGTTTGGCGGATAAATATTCTAAAGATCAAACGTAAACCTATTTTTACGACTATTATGGTTATTACAATTTTTCTGTAAATTATAACATGCCCACTATACTGGGCCATACAATAGTTAATCCTGTAACACCAAGTTATTCTTTTGATATTGTTAGAGTCAATGTTTTTTAATAATGATTTTTCATTTTTCAGTATTGAACTTTATTACATTGTTTTTATAAACTTGATGGTTAAATCAACTCATCCGTTTCCCTCTTATTTGTTTATAGGCTGTACAACATTATCTTTTGGCATCAGATATTAATAATAGTAATAATAACGTTGGTTTACCGGATTATTTAAGTGGTACTGCCACAACAGCTTCTAATATCATTTCTAATCACAACGACAGCACATTGAGTGACGATGAGAGTCAACCTGATGGAAATACATTATCGAATCTGATAACATGTTCTGATTCAGCTGCCAGTATCGCTAATACTGATGTTGTTACCACTATTACTACTACTATTAGTAGTAATAATAGCAATAGTACTCCCACTGGTTTAAGCAGTACAACCAATACTAATAGCACTTATTCATCCAGCATAAATCTTTCAAATTATGGCACTTCAATACCTGGGAATCGTGAACCAGTCTATGTTTCATATGTCCGATATATGGCTAAATTTATGCCCGCCAATTGGCTTGTACGAAGTGCACAAGCATTAAAATTAAATGTTAATCAAATTAATTGTGATACAAATATGATATGGCTTAATGCATTAATTGGTCGTTTGCTATGGGATTTTCTTCGTGAACCTTATTGGTTAGAAAAGATAAAAAATAAGATTCAAGCAAAGTTGAAAAAAATACATGTAAGTAGTGTGGATTTGTATTTTGACATTTTCTTATTATTTCAGTTGCCTATTTTTTTAAACCTCCAACATAATTGATGTAGTTGTGAATTATCACAAATTAACATTGATAGATTATTACTAGTGCTATGTGAAGATGGAATCACCGAAGTTCTTCTATAAGATTTAATTTAATAGTAAAAATGAAAATTAATTGGTAACGTTTATCGATAGTTGTCCTCCATTAAATTGTTATTAGAAGTCCTAATTTGTATTTTGTCTTTTGTAACGGAAAGTATAATCTCTAATTGGAAAGCCTTAGTATCTTAGATTCGTCTCTAAGAGCGATAGACGTCAGTGTTGACTGTAAGAAATCATTAAGTAATACGATATAGAAAGAAACAATGTATTCTAACCTTTTCCAATTTGTATATGCAAATATTGTAATGCTAGTTTTTCCTTGTTTCTAGGCGTAGGACAACTTGGTTAGTGATATATTGGAATAGTATATCTCTTTTCTCTTCCCTCAGTTAGGATATTTAATGAGACTTGAACCTTTTTATTATTATCGTGTTAAAAACCGATCAATGTTAAACTACCATTAAAAACCTGAAAGTATTGGACGACCGTTTCATCCTAGTGTGGAAAAAGCATATTTTGGCGTCCTATTCTAAGACGAAACGGCCATCCAGTGCTTCCAGGTTTTCAATGGTGGTCTAACATTCATCGGTTCATAATTTTAATGAAACTTGACGACCCCCACAACCCTATACTAACAAAGATATATTCCACCGAATTATTATACAGAATAATGTTAATGCTTAAGAAATTTATATATAGGAATTTTACATGTTAACAAATAGTTTTTAAAATCATTCTATTTTTTGTTTTATCTCTGTCCAAAAATATCATAGCTTCCAAATTTCATCAATGAACTCACTGTCGTTGATATTGATTTGGGCTCAGAAATACCTGTACTAAGACGTATCGGATGTCCTTATCTGGATGCACATGGTCTATGGATTGAAGTGGATGTTGGTTATGCTGGAGGGTTCTCATTTGCTTTGGAAACAAGTGTAAGTAAATTAAACGGAGGAAAGCAACTTTGGAAGTAACAATTTTTAAAATTACATTTTTCAATGAATGTAAAAAGTTTAAAATCTCATGCTCCACACCAATTTACCTGTGCATCAGTTCAACATACGAGTTATTTCATTTGACACAAACTCCCCTTATTCTGTTTCATGTATAATTCTTCTCCTAAGGAATTTTCACGAACATCTTGATGTGTGCTTCTAAAAAATTGACATAATGAAAGCCGATGTTAAGGTGTTTGATGTGGTTGGCCAATAAAAAGTGTCTATTTAGAGTAATTGTAAAAATTATGTTAAACTAGTGGTGTACGAAAGCTCCAGAAACTAATGTACAAATTCACTCTGGTCACCAACTACACGTGACGTTTCACTTTTTTATGTAGTATATTTTTAATTCACCTTGTCGGATTCCAAAACAAAAGCATTTGGTTGAGCTTATGTGCGCGGATATTATCACACAGATGCATGGCCGTGTGTGTTTGCTCCCTTATGTTTTCTGAATGCTAGGCCTAAATACTGACCATAAGATTAGTTTATTTGGATTAAATTTAGCTACCTCTTATACCATTTGACGTAATAGTCGTTTTTGTTATTAATTTTTATCGGAAATTTAATTTCTGGTGCTATCCTTTACTACATACTGTTCCAGACTGTTCGGAACTGAGTCATTAAAAAGGAACATGAACTGCAATTATTATTATTATTATTATTATTATTATATTTTGTTTCATTAACGTATGTTTCGAGTAATCTCTATTGGATAGCTATGTTGATAACTTCCGGACTCGTACTATGTTTTGATTATTTTCTGTCCGGATTTTGGGGATTCTTAGTTTTTAGAAAGTCATTAGTTTCTTAATTCGATATTTAGAGATTACCTAACTAAGCATGCGTAGATTGACTTGTTAATCAACATTTCACTTTTTGATGTTAATTTCATTATGACTCAATGATCAGTTTGCATAAAATATTGTTTAGTAATTTATCTTAACAAAGTAATTATTCCTTCGACAGTATTTATCACGGATCAGTGTCAGTATTATTATCACGAGCCCACTAGTTACTTACTTCAAGAGCAGTCATTGGAGTTCTAATAGGAAGTCGTAGCCGGTGGAGTCCAATGATTAAATGATCGTTGGTTCATGTAGCAAACTGTACTAAAAGAGAAATATGTTTTATTGAACGTCTACAAAATTGTTTAATTGTTTGCCGCTTGTTACGAGTTCTTAAATTGAATGAACGCTGCTGATGAGTTCCACAACAGGTTCAGTCCCAGTGTTGTATATTTGGATTTTTTGAGGTTTATCGTGCTAGGTATTTGCAATAAACTACAGTGTAACTCCTTTGATCAATACATATCAATCACGCAGTTTACCTCTGACTGACCTTGGAGAATTGTAAGCCGTTGGATACACGTAACTCAGGATCATTTTCAAATCCACCTTTCATAAATCACTCGCCTCTTCAAGATAATATATTCCTTAGCTTTAGCTAAATATTTATCAGAAAAATTTGAGGATTTTTAAATTATTATTTCTTCTTTTGAGTCCCATAATTTACGATTACTATGCACTAGATTTCATGTTGAGAAAATCATTTACAAAGTTGAGGCTTTGAGACACACTTTTATTGTATGTAAATAATGTTGGTCCTACACAGCTCTCCAAGTTATAGTTGGTGGAAGGTTGTTCGAACAAGGGATTCAATGGTTACAGGTCGAATGCTTTAAGCACAGCCATGATAACTAAAACAAATTTGTTTAAACTTAGGGTACATAATACATATATAAATGTTTGTGTTTACTCAATGAGAGATATGTGTCTTAACTATATTAGGATGTACTTTTATTTCATTAGTTCGTGTGAGTTTTATTCATTTTACATCGATTTATGAGGTTGAACAGTATTTCAACCCATTTTATACATTGATTGGTTTTTTTTAATTACCAAGGAGCATCGATCTCTTCATAAAAACCAACGTAACAGTAAATCAATAATCCATTAATAAACAATGTTAAAATGGGGTCTATATTCACAACGTATTGATAATAGCCTGTTATATATATACCATGTTGTATCTTGAGTTAATGACAATTTCCTGTTAATTTTCTCAACAAACAAATTGTTTCATACTCTTTATCTCTGAAAATAAATGACAGCTATATAAATGAGAGTAGGAGAAACAAAATATCTAGATTTGTATGCATGAGAATTTAATGTGTTAGTAGAATATTTTATTTTTCACTATTCTCTCAGCTCTTCCCAAGTCGTTATTTTGTGTCTTCACCTATAATTGTTATAAGCTTATCGATTTGTGTGCATGTGCATGGCTGTGAGTGTTTTCGACAACCAATTAATAAAATTTGTAAAACCTATTGTGTCATGTAAACTGTGAGTTTTTAACGTCCTACATATGGTTCTTGTTCCTACTCTACTATTTATTATTATTATTATTATTATTATTATTATTATTATTATTTATTATTAATGTACTTGATACTTTGATCAGCATATAATGTTAGGATAATATGAAGGAAAAATTCCGTACCTGAACTTATTTTGTATCCTTTTGTCATAACTTAATAACTATTTGTTTACTTATTCCCTAACTATGCATTACGTTCAATATTTATGATGTAGATTGTTTTTGTTAATCGATTGAACGTAGCACCCAGTTTTAGCGAGTTTCACACCCGTTGATTGATATTAATCACCACTGAAATGGTCTTTCACTTAATTGGTCATTGTGTGATATAGTGGAATTTTGTTGGTTGTAGTAGGTGTCCTTCGGTTCTAGGTATTAACTCTCTTTAAGTTGATCAACCCTATCTCACATAGATGAACACATACTTCTTTAAGATCTCCATTCTACTTTTCAAATCATAAAATAAACCCATCACTTGACTAAAGGCTTAGAATAGAAGTGCAGCCACCAAGTATTTGTATGATCAAGAGCTAAACGTGATTATTTCTCTTTTAAGGATTAAATTCATAAATTTAAATTACTTTGCATCTATTTCAATGTATACAACTGGATAATATCATTAGCAATCACAGCTGTAGTATATTTGAAAGGTGAGGACATGAACATGTACTTCGTAAACAAGCTACATTTACATTCGTTTCTAAATTAACTTGGGTTACTAACTGATTAACTAGAGTAGAGCGCTTAATCTAAATAAAGCAGGGATATGAACCTAACTTGTCACAATGAAGTGTTTAAGTCACTCATCCACAGTTTTAAATGAATCGTATTACTTCTTAATGTGTAATTAAGTATCATCTATTTATCAAAGCTGACTCAATTAGAACTAATATTTATTTATTTTTGGTATTCTTCAGTGTTGGATGCTTCGATAATTCACTACATATTTCTTTGTTTGTTTAATATTTTTTATTTAGGTTAATTTAATGCGGTGGAATCAAAAACTTCGTGAAGAAAAAGATATTACCTATTCATCAGGTTCGATCGTTTATTTATTTTTTTCTAAACGAGATTTGTTCTATTTTTCCATAAAAGTTATGTGTTTCAAAAGTGAAATTTCGTAGCATAGCATTAAGCCTTGTGGTATATTACTATGATCTCTTCTCTTAAGCGTGGTTGGTACTACTGTCCATAAAAATGTTACACTTTGTAATTTACGTTGAGGACGACATGATTTCTGTAACCAATCGTTTGATATTTCAGATGAAATGACTCAGAATCAGTCTGAATGGCTCAGGTGCGTTCACTCTTTTTCATCTCTTAAGTCCTGAGTTTCAAAATTTTCTTGTATTTTTCAATCACATGGACTAATTCTTTCCCAAATCATACCATTTGTAGCTATCTTTTTCCTGCTACTCATATTGCCATTAATTCTATTTCTCTGGGATTTGTCTTGATTATTTCAAATTGTTGTGTTAATTTAGTGTGACAACATGAAGCACTATACATGTTTAACGGGTTCTACGTTTCATATGGCTAACTGACTTATTTTTATTGTATAGAATTTGATTTATTGATAAAGACTACAGATATAATAGCTCTGAGCGTTTTTGTGAAATACTCTGTAATTAATTTTTTTATCAGTCTCCCCTAATTCCAATGATAAAGTTGCAAATATAAGGTACTTTTGTCTTTTAAATGAACTATTCTTTTGTCTGATTTTGTCATCGATATTTTCCAAAAGCGTTCGGATTAATAATAATAATAATCTCCCCCAAAACATGTCAAAAAATGTAGCTGCATCTATCAGTAACGGTATACTTGCTATTGATTCTATGTACTTTGCAATGAAAGTTCCACTTATTTAAGAAGTGAGTTGGTTAGATTTCATGGGTGCGCAACGTTTACCACTGGCAGCCACACTTGTTCTTTTTAAATCAATTAGTATTCTCCACTTAATTGTTCATTATTAATAAAACTGCGCTTATATGTTAAAATTTAAACTTGCTTTTCATGGATAACATAATAAACTTGACCAATGAGACAGTAACAACACAGTTGAATGCCATTTATCTGCTTACCGACATAAAGAGTGATCACTTGTGAATAACATTTCAGTATTCATTTCAACTAGTATTCGATATATAAGTAAATATTTTTGAAACTATTCGATCTTTCGGGGGGGGGGTGACGAGTCTATTAACAAATAATGAAAATGTTTAGTGAGAGTCAAAGTGAAGCGTCAATAACAATCAACAACTGAAATTATTACCATCCAAGATTATCAAAACACAAAATCTTATACTATATGGTTGTAGGTAGTCATGTATCTTTGTGATTTTCTTTAAAATCTTTTACATGAGTATTTTTTTATGTAAAAAAAGATGAAAGTGCAATTAAATCAAACCCTTTTCTTTTTTCGTCCACATTCTCCCAGATAATTTTGCTCAAAATTCACTATCCAATGAATCTCTACCAAAAGTTCATTCTCGTTCGATAACAAAAATGGCCGCTTACCTATCTGATGAAGAGGACAGTGCTGATTCAACAACTGACTCTGAATTAGATGAAACAACTAATATTAGTCAAAATTCCAGTCCAATAAATAGTTTACGACCTGGGCGTAACTTACCATCCACAGGACTAATCATAGGTGGAATGAAATCCGGTGATAATGAACGTGTAAACCCTGAAGACAACAGGTAAAAGATTGCTATAATTTATAAAATAAATATTGGAAAAAGTCTCTGCTAGTTAAAACAACAAAGTCTCTTCATGTTTCTCAGCCGCTTGAAGGTGTTTCTTATTATCGGATGTTATGAGGATTTTAGAATTTTATAGTCACCATTACTGACTGATATTTTTTGGCAACCATTGAAAAATATGAAGCAATAGACAACGGTTTCGTCCTAGTATGAGTACCTCATTAGTGTTCATCCACGACCCCACGGAAGATCGAGCATATGACCTTCAGATCTCATCGTAAAGACTATCAGTTGTGTTGGTTGGTTGATAGAATGGATTTTAAATTATATTCTTTATATGCTGCGGTAAGAAAATACTAAAGATATAAAAGTCTCTGTCACAACTGCTGAAATAACAATTTTTATAGCGTTTTGAATCTCAGGACTAGTTGACTTCTCCCGTGAGTGTTTAGTGAAATTTATTCCATAATTAGACCTTTAAAGCAACATCACTCCTAAAAAACAAGTCTTTTTGTATGTTCATTGCTTGCTAGGCAAGTTTCTACTAGGGGTTGTCATTGAATGCTCTAATAATGTCATAAGTATAATGTCAGTAACTTCACTACTTACGGGCTTTGATTATGAGTATCAGTAAACGTGACCTTTAATTTAAAATATGATTTACTATAATTCGAATTTAAGTACTTGTCAAAAATTTTCAACTTTTACTGTTATTGCAGCAGATCTATTTGTTTTAGTAAATTGGTCTATTAAAGCAATTGATAAACCCATTGTACATTCAATATTGAATATTTATTATCGTACGTAAAGCAAATTCAATGTTATGAACATATCTTAATTTCTGAAGTTTACTACTTTATATTCCTTTTTTAAATTATTAAGTCTTTCATGATCGAGTTTGCCACTTTCAACCAGTAACATGCTACAGCTTATTAAAACAAATCGCTTTCTTTATGTAACCATCAATAGACTTGTTTTACTAGTCAGAAGTCAAATCTTCAAGTAATTGAACAAAGTGAAATGATAATCTTATTTATATATATAAACAGATTTTGTAGTTAATTTAACAAAACAGAAGATAAACAGTAGAGTAGAATTATTACCAGTGCTTGCTTCTCAATTATTATGATGAAATGATAAATTGAATTGCAATATAGAGGTTATAATCAATTTATCATGAAAATAATTGTCTGTAGATTATTCTTTCTGATATCACCATTGAAAGCAACCTATGGAGTTAACTATTAAAACTGACTTATTTACGTATGTTAATTCTTACTAAAGCTTCTAACCACACGATTAAGAGATGCGTAAAATGTGGAAATCAAAAACGCAAAATAATCTTGAATATGGTACTGTGATTATGAAAATATATGGCGGGCATGCATTACAAAGCAGAATACGTGAGTTGTCTACAGAATCTATCGTATTAGTATAAATCAGATAAGGATGCTTCCTAAAATGGATATATAAAGGTTACTTACAACAACATAGGATAAACTATTTGATAACGAATAGCTGTGTCGAAACTACAAAGGTAGACAACAATCTAAAATGGGAATGAAGAGCGCTAGAATGGAAACTGTTACAATAAAATAAATGTTCAATGAGTACACTAGAATTGGAAACAAGTGTTATGAATGTAAAGAATATGCAATGACAGTGATAGATAAATTGAAGTTCACCAGTCCATGTGAATACTTGAAATATTGAACACTATGCACTCAAAAAGTATTACAATTGAAACTGATTACTGAAGTTGTATTATAAAATAATACACAACAAGAGAGCGAAGATAGGAAGCGCTAATCGATTCAGCAGCCTATTGCACTTATAAATTCACACAATTGAATATAAAGCGTAACTTCATCATATTACCTGGTCATCATTCGAAATTGCATTAATAAAACACTGTGTAGAGTAGCTAGCATTAAATAAAATTCTCTGTTTGGTGCTTCAAGTTAATCGGCATTAAGCCTTTAGATTATAATATCGTGATTGTTGACATCTAGATTTTCCAGTTTACTACAATTCTCTCCATTATTAGTTCACTGATCAAGTCTTACATTGTTTTATATGCAAAGATTTTTATTTAGATTGAGTTATATAAAAAATGTCATTCAAATCATTACAAATGTGTTCTGTGAGTAGACAGAATATTGATCATTTAAAATGTACACATATTTAATCTTTTACAAATAGGTGTTGCATTGACTGAACGATCTATTGACTTTGCTGTCATATAGTGATTTTACATTAGATTTCCCGTTTAGTGGAGAATAAGTTTCAGATATTTTGATTACAAATAAAAAGAACCTATTGAATTTCTGTTATACAGTTAGTGTTTTAGGAATTGAGTTATAAATACACACTTAATTTGTTAAATGCATGCTTGTATTAATAATGAATACTCATAGTTTCATTTGGAACTATAAAAAGTGTGTAAAATTTTAATTTATTTACTTTCTCTATAGTTAATGTTTTTATTTGTTAGACCATTTCATCAATTGAGGGATAATAATTTAACTTAATCTATTCTTGTTTAATTGATTCCATACATATATGTATGACTATTGTGCAGGTCATTTAATCGTCTTTCTCCAATTTCACCAAACCGGTATGTATCAATCTCTAAATAAGCAACACTACATTAGTGATAATCTTATTATTTGTGAACTGACTCTCTTTCTCTACTTCAACGCAGACACATAATCACATCTTATTTCTTCACCAGTTTCGTTTGTATTTCTGCTCAACATTTAATTCTATCTTAAAGCATTCACACAAATTATGCATAACTTTTTAATTGCATCTTCGTTAACATATTATTGTGTTTTTGTTTACTTTAGTTGGGTGTCATATCGCTCATTGCGCGTGTGTGTTTCTAACTAAACAGGAACCGAAACGATTAATAGTACCACTTGAAGAATCAATATTGTTTTCATAAAAATGAGTTACATATTCTTCTTCATGTAGGATTCTCTTTCTCTTTAGATTTCTTCAACATATTTTTTAACTCTTAGTTTATTTGTCGTACTCATTGTTATTTATTTTAGAAGAGTGTAAGTTTTGTCAATATTCAATAAGTTATCGCAAAACTCTTACTTTCATTGGTGATAAATTGATAATAAATACATGTAGTTGTTTTTTCTTATGATGCCCTTCCTCGTCTTGCAATATTCCGGTTAACAGCATATTATTTTTCATATGAAATCCACGCTCACTTATCGAACTTATGAAACATTATCCTTGGTCTTCTAAAGCTTCCCTTTAAACTAATGGTTCGAGGCTTCCAATGTTCGAAACATATCTCAGTTTGGATAACAGACTTTACAATTGTTCGCATGGTGTAGTTTTCAAACTAAATAAATTACTTTCTCAATAATTCAACGGTTTTTGTTATTTAAAGACTGCTATTGGAAAGTTCTCGATCTTTGTGTTCAATTTGAAGACTACAAGAAACTAAGACTGTTTTTGCCATTCAAAATTAATTTACTGTCATGTTTATTCGTAAAAGGTTACTTTGGTAAAATAAAAGCAGTCGTAAATATCTCATTCATTTGATATCCTATCAAAGTTAAAATTTCTGAATTTTTGTATGGTAATGAAGTCGGTAACTGGAAGTTCTGCCACAACTCAAACCTTTGTTCATTTACAACGTTCATCTATATATGTTAATTAGTTTAAAAAATTGCAACCAGTTGTAACATAATATTATTGTTTACAAAAGAACTCCCGAACTATTCTGTTTGTTAATAAGTGAATACAATATAATGTTTTCTAAGCTGGATGGTTTTACCATGGATGTTTTGCGGTTTCTCCGGACAACATCATTCGCACATATTTCACTTTTGAGAGCACAGCACCTCTAAAGTTCTCTTCTTGAGCTACAGATCATCATCTCAGAGGTGACCGTAATTATCATTTGGTATTTCTTACGTAATATCATTGGTACACTTTTGATATCTCTGAAAAAAATATTCCTTTAATAAAACGTTTCAGATAAGTTAGATTTGGTATACTAGGTCCTATATCTCATGTGTGACTTAAATTTGATGATTATATACAATGTAACTAGTGGAAAATATTTTGTTTAATTCCTGGATTACTATTGCATGATAAAGAACTGTACCTTCTGTGTTTACTTTTCCTCTGTGTGTATGCGCTTCTGTTCTATGTAATCTGTTTATGTATTCAGCTTCGAACCACACTTTGTGTAAGACCTACTCGAAAAAGGAGTCTTTTGACTAAAAACTACGGAGTCATCATTTCACATCGTTATTTGTCACCAGTAGTTTGGCGTAGATGATCGTTCACCTATTCATAGTTCAGAGAGCACAACAAATTTTACTCTGCATTTCTCTGACCAACTAGTATTTTAAATACCCATTTTATTCTTTTCTATAATTGTGCTAAAATTAAAACAAGCATTTGAAATTTGTGTATTTGACGTTTACTAACAATTAACTTATATTTTATACCGAAATCCTGGTGATACAATAAGTTGAACATAATTCATTTCATTTTACAGATTTCTTGATTTTAATGTTTCGATAATATTCCAATCAGTAGTAGTAGTAGTATGACGTTGATTGAAACGATTTATTTATTTTTGTTGTTTTAAATAGATTATTTTTATATTTCAGTCCAGTAAATTTACAGCCTGTCTTACCGTCTCGTCGAAGGATTATACGTATTGTCGATCGCATCACCAAATCCTCATATTTTCAAAGAGCCGTTGATACAAAACTAGTCCAGCGTGGTATGGAACGTTTGTCAAACACACCAATTGTATTACAAGTTGAGGTATGTCCTTTTTCTCTGAACAAGATAGAGATAATGTAGATTATTAGAAGATTGACTTTAACATTCTCAGTTTTTTTTAATGTCACTCTATCAATTTATTAATTGTTGACTGACAAATAAAGGATTGCAAAAAATTGTGCACTCTATACCTAATCAAGTGACACGTCAAAACCGAGAACCCTTAAGAATTCAATAATAACTGCCAAAAATGTCATGAAAACTTATCTAGGCTTCATCACTGTATATCACCAGTCATTGGTTTCTACGATGTGTAATAATTAAAGCTGAAAAGTCTACTATTCAGTTTTCGTATTCTTGGATAGATCAACGATAGTTTAGATGTATGCTTTCGTATTTTTTTAATCTTTACCATGAACTCTGTTTAATTTTAGGATCACTTAGTTTTTTTCTGACACTTAAATTTTCACAGACAATTGTGATATGATATCGGTAGTTTTTTATTGTTATTCTTTACGATGCAATGGGCTGTACCGTACATTTCATACTTAATTGTAGTACCTTTATTTTTTGCTGTTGTATTTACTCACAGTTAATACATAAGATCTCATCTGACTGAAGTATTCGTCCTAATAATGGGTTTAACTTCATGTATATAGACTACCCTAACATCTAGCCAGGAAACTAGGCACTATATATATGTATATATACCAACTGACTTTAAGTTTAAAGTAACTTCATACTGATCACTTCAAACTTTTAATAGATAGCTCAAATGACTCATATGTCATATATTTTAATGAGTTGGTTATTTGTAATTAGCGAACACAACAGAACAAACTACGTTATTAATTATTATCCGAGAAATCTTTATAATTAATTCTTTCATAATTTTACTCTCTTGTTTATACGGAAATTGTTATATCCTAGTGAAGGTTAAATTATGGGTATCTTCGGAGACCTATTGATGGACTGATATTATCTATATATTCTTATTGTATAATTATTCCGTAGCTAGATTATATATATCTATATTCCCTTTATTATAAGCTTCGTTTTGATCTATAGATTATGATTGTACGATTTTCTGTTCTTACGTTATACTCAGTTTATTAATTACTGTCTCCCACGTTCACAGCCACCTTTGGCTATATTTTGTACGAGTGTTATTTTCCATTTTATGGTACATAGCGGTCTGTTTGGTTGATATATAAGCCCAGTATATTTTAAACAAATGATTCGCATAGTGGAGGCTGTCGGTGGCATTCTGGACTCAGGTGGACGGGCTAGGCGAGGAAATGACCAATAGGACGCTGGGCTGATCGGACCGAACGAAAGTCATTGGTTTAGTACAAGAGCAAATAAGTCGTATTTTGATTGGCGAATAAATTACGTGGTAACTGGCGGCCCATAAAGCCACAGCAGAAACGTTTGTTATTTATGAAGTACTTAACATGAAATCCATCCATTTTATGTAACGAACTTATATGTTATATGTGGAAATTATATTTGAAATAATCTCAGCGATTGAAATTTAAATAATTCCAACTTTTCGTCCAGCTAACTTGTCTGGACTTCTTCAGGGTAATAATCAAAATCATCAAAGAAATATATAGATTTTTAACAATCAAAACCATAGTTTTATTATTTAAATTTCAATCGCTGAGATTATTTCAAATATAATTTTCACATATAATGACTTCTCTATACTCGTTGCCCAATTTCTGTCAAACTATTCGTTCTAATCTTGACGAATATTCATGTGAACTTATATGTTGTTGTTAGTTTATTTTATTATGAGGTATTTATCAATGTTCTCTCTAGTTGAGAGTGTAACATACGCTGTATTTATCATCTGAATATCACTTGGAGCATTTTGAATCTTTTATAAGCTTTCAGTTGTTATTTTACTTACAGAGGTAGTGTAGGAATTGACATTATTGTTTGTCGATCTACCTAACTACATTTCAAGGGCAACAGTTATTTAAGAATTTAAACATCTTGTCGAAGTCCATCTGTCTATTAAACATGAACACATGATCGAAAACTTTGACATCAATTTAAATTCGCCAAGAAACAAAAGTACGAGCTGGGCATTTTTCTTATTTGACTTTGTCTTCAAACGTACATAAAATTCAAGTGAATATTCACATTTGTTTCTTAAATGTGTACTCCAGAAACAATGATATTTTTGTGACTAAAAAACTTAAAATCTTGAAATTTGAATTGTTTTGTAATGGTTAAGATTCTTCTCATACCAAACAGGATCTACGCGAAGTAGATAGATCGGTGACTATATATATTATAAGACTAAAAATTCGAAAATAATATCTGCTCAAAATTTAAAATAATAAAAAGAACGAAAAACTAATAACACTAGAGCGTACAACTGTAACAGTAGTGATTTCAGTCATCTATAGCCATTTGACTTGATGCGTTACTCGATTGTGACAGCAAACAGACTACAACTATATCGAGGACTATAACTGGGCAAATTTGTGACGTGGCCTAAACCATATAATCACTTTTCAATCTCATCTTAAAGAATGTAATCTGCTATGCTCATTTACATCACATCTTGTCGTGTACTTTACTACGCCAATCCTCTTCCCAATTTCTTGTTGTACAAATCTTGTGTGTTTATTTATATTGATCACAATATGCCACAGGTATTTTCATATGTTCATTTGATTTTAAATGTAATCAGATAAAAACTAAATTCTCCGATATGGTTCTGCTTTATCGTTATTATGTTTTTTTGGTTTATCAATACCTAGATACAAATGTTAAGTGGTACGCTTTTAGTCAATATCCCTCCACCGCCCAGTGATCGTCTGTGGTATGGTTTTCGTCCTGTACCTAATATACGACTTAAAGCACGTCCTCGTGTTGGAGAAAAAGTTGTTACAATGTCACGTATATTGGAATGGATTGAAAAGAAAATGATTCTTGAATTCCAGGTGATAAAATTTATTTGGGCGTATTTTTCGTTCAGATGTCATTGTTTATCTCCTAGTATCAGATTTTGTTCATTACTTGGTATTTTCGACCGAATATTTTATTCATTTATCCTATCCTGATCGGTAATTATGGGTAAACACCAAAAGAATTATGTTGAATGTAAAGTCTCTGTCTAGCGGTGGAGTGTTAAAGAGCACAGTACAGTAAATTGTTCGCATCTACTGTTTCATGTTTGTTTTGAATGTAGATTTTTTGAACAATATTTTGTGATATCGGCTTTTGAATATTCGTGGTAGAACTCCTTTATCCATCTCTTAGCTTTTAGCAGCTTTTTTTCAACGTGTCGAAACACTCAGCTCACTCGTTTGAATGTCCCCCCCCCCGAAGTGTATGATTTTAGGCGTTCGTGAATGAGTAGTCGGCTAATTTTACTGTACAATAAAGTGTTGGGATAAGCGTACCTGAAACTTCGAGTAGACATTGTTTATAGCAAATTAGTACGTCCCACTAATTGATTCTGTGAAACATAAGTCAACGACGTAGCAGCCGGTACAAATATTCATCAGTACAGATCTTAAGGATTCAGTTTTAGTCTCCGTCAGTTTCTATCAACAATTAACTCACGATTTTATTTATTTAAATATAAACATTGGTACAAAGAGGCACCATAATATATATGCACTACACAAAGAAGTTATTGAATTCGAGTTTGGACTCCGATGCTGCTGAGGCAGGCAGCTTTCTTATGAAGCCACTCCGAGCGTTTAATTCAGAGGTCCAATTCATCTAACAATAGAACAACGATAAGAGATGCAGTCCTTTGCTAACCGGTCACTAACATTAGGTTCATACGCTTTTTGCTCCCTCGGGATTCCTGGAGCCCACGTGCTGCGTCGTTGGTTCGGAATTCAGGGTTTTCTAACTCCCCTAGATGGATGTTCGTATCCACCAACCCGATTTGACATTCGCTTTTCTTGCTCTTAATTTCGAAAATAACACCCGTGCTTTGAGAAAGCAGTGGCCATATGAGAGTATCCTGTGAGGTAGAGCAGAGGAGGGGCTACAGGAAGTAACGCGATTCTATATAGATAAAATGTCCATTTTTATATTTGATACATAAAGCGTCTATCAAGCATTCACTTCAGTTAAATTAGTTATACTGTTAAATATATCCTAAACTTGGTAGAAATATTGGCAAAAAATAAATATTTGTAATTACTTGAATATAAAAAAATTACTGGAAAACTCAAATAAGAACTTTCACTTATTCAGGTATGATTGTTGACTACATATTCACAACCCATCTGTCTTTTTTTGTTGCCTAATAGCATTTAGTTGTTTTACCGAATATGGATGATTTGAAAGTTGGGCTACTTTTATCCGATGCTACATCAGCAACATAAATAATCCGACACCAATTATATTCAATGATATCAAAACGGCTGAAGGATTAGCTTTTAATGATCCCTAATCACTATTACAAAGGGCTTCGATGAAAACTGATGTAATCTTATCATTATCATTCCTTGTTTTTTGCTTTTTCTGTTGCATACTTTGTCAGTATACTGTATTTTATACAAATGTATTCATGCTATCTTATATATTTTAGCTTATTAAATTCAAATTAATCTAAACGTGATTTCTTTTTGTCATATTTTCTATCCTCTCATTTTTTCGTAAATGTTCACATTTATTTGTCGCAGTGAATATGAAATGAAGAATACATAACCAATAATTTCTATTGGGAACAATTTAGTGTTGCCTCATTTTGATGATATCTTGAGCAATTCTAACTGTAATCAGCAGTTGATTTCCGTTTTATACAATTTTTGCGTTGTATCGAAAACTATGATGGATGAAGACTGGATATATATATATTCCAATTGTTGAATATTTATTCTTCACAGAATGTATTGACACTTGTTAAGTGGATTTATTACTTACAATATATTGAAAATCGGAACCTTTCTCTCACTTCATCTGTGGTTAGCAATTTTATTACTATTCTTTTGTTTCTATTTACCCAACTTTCTTTTCTTTTGAGTGCTTTGAAGAAATAGACCTGACTATTGTTCTCAGTGTGTACCGTTGCCATCTTCCTAGGTACTTTTAATACTGTAAAACACGACAATAGGCAGAAGGTATATACATTTATTGCGAGAGGTTACAAAGTATTTACATAATACATATAGCTTTCAATCGTCTATTTGCATCTTCCGATGTATTCTGCAATCTGAACTGTCTTCTCGGCTGGCCTCCAGGTGTTCTGCCAACACCGTGCTTTTGATGCACTGAAACTCTGTCCGACAATTTTTACAACTTCGACGCCGCATTCCGATAAACACTACTAACAAATATCCTTGTGAGTAGCGTCCACTACACTACAATCAATCTGTATAAATTAGAAGCATCAAGAACATGAGCAAAAATTGTAATGATTATTTGCAAGGGTTGGATTATTCAACGTCGTATCAACATCAGGGATGCTTCGATATATGTCAGTTATAGCAGTGAAATCCAAGACACTCATCTCCACTTGTTAGGGACTCTTCACCCGGAACTACCCGCTTTGTGTTGAAGGTGAACATCAACACCAGGATTTAGGCGTATCCAACGAATGGGTATTAGGATAGAACGTCCGTCTTGAATTCCATTGCTAGTCATAATTCAAAATAATGTAATGTTATTCGGTAGTAAAACTCAAGGAAGTTATCACAGCTTTTCCATTGGGCTTGCACTTCAGACACTTTACACGTTTACCTTTCATTCGATATTATTAAGCCATTAATTTGTTGCTACTTTATTTATCCCGGCTAACCTCAATCTCCATACCATAACACAGTTCCGGTTGTTTAAATGATTTCATCCTGATTTACTGCCGTTGTCACTTCACAACAGCACCCCCGTGGTGTAATCAATAAATGATCGCTATCATTGTTCATAGTCAGACCTCACAAGTACTAACGCAGCAGGCACCGCTCTTTCTACAACCGATAGTAACACTCAAACATACAAATTCTCTCATCTGTTTCAGTAACCTAACGATTGAGTTTCTGAAGGCCTATAGCTTATCACTTCACACTAGTGAGACCGATCTCCATATTTTCCTGGAATTAAGGATATTTATACACATACACAAACTGACTTTCATATTTTTATGAAGGCAACAGTGTCCAGTATTCTTAAGATAACTGACCTCGCCTCTAAACCAAAGACTATGGTTCTTGTTATAAATAAACCATATGAAGGGAAAATATTCTAGACGCTTAGTACAGATTGTACGGAGTTATAGACAAGAAAGTGAAAAGTACATTGTTTACCAACAATCTCTCGAAGTGCGTTTGTATTTTTCTGTCGTCATATTTTACCACCAAATAACAGTAAACATTATTTTGAAACAAACCTAATAATAAATTTTGTTGGTTGGATCACTCGAAGGTGATTGATTTTCATTTCATAGACATCTAACACATTTGTAGGGACTTCTGAAAAGTCACACACCAACGTACATCTAGATTGTATATTACTTCAGACTAATTGTTTGTAGTATATAACGAAACTTAAGATACGTTGACCACGCTTAAAATCGATATCATTGTATACAAATTTGTTGTATTCTGGTGAAGCACACTCAGCCTTTAAGAAATCGGTTTCGAACGAACTAGGTCACAGTATCATCAGATTATTTTATAAAAAAGGTTATGGAGTAACTGAACGACGAAAGACACGTTGTATTTACACGGCGTAAGGTAATACTGATGATTTTAGATATTACAAGTACGGAAGACATTATAGCCATTTAATGCTGTTGTAAATACTAGTCCTGGTACTTGTGGATGCCAGTGTGCTTCCTTTAATTCTGTTTGGCCACCATGAACAAATAACAATTGAACTGGTATGCCTAAATCTTCTTCATCTGCCTCATGATTTGAACTTGATTCATTTGACTGTTTTAATTCTTGTTCAGATTGTTCTAAACTAATGTCCCAGAATGTAGCTTGATCGTCTTCACATGTAGCTACAAACACTCCAGCGTCATTCGGATGCCATTCCACTGATGTGATTGGTTTCTTGTGGTACTACAAGACAAACCAAAATACATCATCTTAATATAATAATGACAACAACAATTGACACTGAGATTTTACAACAAAATAATTTAGTAGATATCAAAAGTAAACTTAACGTGATGGTAGCTAATGGGAATCCGTGTAAAAGAAATAAAACCGTGACTTTCCATGAGTGGATTAATAATACTTTTCAGACAGAATGTACAGTCTACTAGTGGAGAATGCATTATCTAAATTATGCTTATAAATGAATCAACCAATAATATTTACGTTAAACGCTTACCACGTAGACTCAATTCGGTCTACAGGCGGTCATATTCTGCTTAATTGACAATCACGAAATTTTGCTTTTTCTATAGACAAAAATGATTTTTCCACTGATTTCATTTGCTGCATCCCTTACTATCGTTTGAAACAAGTAACGATTAACTATACAGTTTACCTGTTTCGACTACACCTACGCGGTCATAGGACTAACTCAAGAAATCTACCTGCAGGCCATAAAAGACATTGACTGTTAGACTTAGTCACGTCAGCATATACAGATGCAAGTGGGGGTTGTGTGGTCAGTGGTTGAGGACGTTGGGTCAAACAGCTCAAAACCATTCAGGACGACCCACATTTATTCATTATTTTTCTCTAAATCTTGGGTTTCAGTACTTTTTCATGCGCGCCTTTTTATTTCTTATGCTCAAACCATATTCTTAATTTTATTGTAACTGCAATTCTTCCAACTTTTTTGCCATTCATCTTGTTACTCTTCTCTTGTCGTGCTGAGAGAGTTAGGCTAACGTACGTTTGACTCTCGCTCTACGTTGATTAGATCTAAGTGCAACGAATTCACAGTTCTATCGTGTGATTGTATAACCTGATAATACAATTATCCCTCACAAAGTAATTGATTTATAGTATAACTCATGTACGTGGCATAAATTAAATCAATTCGTTTGACTGGAATGGTTTACATTGTGTCTCAAAAGAAGTTACTTGGAGTCAGTTAACACGGTTCGATTCCAACCGAAGCTCAATCAACAGTAAGAAACTAACATGAGGAACTTTATACGTTGACTACCTTGTATGTGTCACTAAAGAGCAAATTATACCTACGTGATAACTCTCTAGAAAATAATCACTTGGACTTAGTAATATACTAATATTATTTAAAACTCGGTTATATGCCAGAATTTACCCATCGCTTTACCGTTTAGTCTTTTACAAGTGACTATTAGATTAATTTTAACGATTCGCAAGTCAAAATGTCAGTCTTCTAATATCAACACACTATCTTAAAAATACAACATTATGTTTACCACACCGAAAATCCAAGTTATTTAACTTACTGATCGCGACTATAACAGCTTATATCCAACATATTCGTGGCTAGTTACCATTTTAAAAAGTTTATAATAGTGATACTTACATCAAATAAGTGCGTATAAGCAGGTACAGATCCATAGTTTGACTTTTTGCCACTGTAACAACTGTGAACTAATCGTAAATCCCATATTCTTAAAGTTCCATCATCTCCCCCCGTTAGCAAATTAAGAGCTTGCAACTTATTCCAAGAAGCAACATTTATATCAGCTGGATGGGCTTCTGGGACTGTAAGCATGCTTCCACTCGATATTGGTGCGCGAACATCCCAAACACGTATACTATGATCCGAAGAAACAGAGATAAATACAGTTGGTTCCGTAGGAGACCACTGAATATCTTCAACTGAATCTGTATGACCTAAATAAGCTCTATTTGATACAGCCCAGTCAGAAGACTGAGAAGTTAAAAAAATTGAAAACAGCAAAATAATGAACCATCATTCAACCACACATTAATATGACACAAACTACTAACATTAACGGACAAATTTTATATTTATCAAGTTGAAAAGTGATGAAGAATATCATTTCGAATACGAATCACTTACTGAAGAATATAAATACCATCTACGAATGGAGAGTAATTGAAATGGTGATAATATGGTAACATACTGATGTTAAGAACGTTCATGTTAGCAACTTTTAATATCACGAAGCTGTAATCAGAGAATTACCTCCTTCAAAAGTAAGTATATACATTTAGGTTAACAGGGAGATCCTTACAGTGGAGTTATTCCAATTCAAAATAGAAATTTGAGATTCTAATTATTTATCAAATACTGGATTTGGAAATATCTTTTACCTTTATTGGTTACTTTGACGCAATGTGCAGTTAGTGCATAAATAGCTGGGAATGCTGGAGACCCAGATAACACTGGTGTTCAAGTTTACAACCTAAAAAACATACTACAAATAACATCAAAGAACAACTGTTTCACATCAACACGGGTTTATCATTGATTTATGACCAAGTTTACATAAAAACTTAGTAACTAGAAAGTAAATGGTCAGTAATTAACAGGGATATTTCAAGCATTTTCAGAGAATAATCAATAAAAGTATTAAACTAAAAATTATATACTCCCATCAAGATGTTCAATAAATGAATGTAGATCAACAAATTCACGTAGATTGGTATACAATATTATGAGGCAGATTAATTGTGCAAATTATAGTCGTACTATTTAGGTGTCCGGAGAGTAGTAACTGGATTAGGTTCGACCGTTAGGCATAATGGTTGATAGCAGGATCACAACTCCCTACCAAGAATAAACTTGATATCAAAATTGTTGCTACTGTAAAAAACGTTTAAGCTCCAAAACTAAAGGTTAGTGAAGATGAAAATTGAACTTTATGGAATGATTTGAAACGTCGTCGGTTGAATGACACGGCTAACTTACAGTACATGGCTTCTTAAATAAACAAATCCCATCAAACTGTCCTTTGACGTGTTTGTTACCACAACGATTCTCAAAACAAATCGCTGTGTTGACAGTGTCAAGAACGTTTTTTGGTCTAAACATATATCAGATAACTTATTATTAACTACACATTAAAAAAAAATTGTTTATAAACGACTTATTGACATGGATTATCATATCCAAACTGGGCATTTCATCCTGTTGTGGGTGATAAACTCCCAGTTTTAAGATATGAACATGCGTCGGTTGTTCACTCAAATGTTTCTATGATATTTCCTAATTTGTTAGTTTTAAAGATAATTCCAATATTCTGGGATTTGTGTGGCCTTGATTAACTGCACACAAATATCTTTAAGGTCATAAAAACTGGTACAGTAAGGCATAAAGAAGAGGATGCGCTACGCAAAGCATAGACAAAATTGAGAGGAAAAAGGTTGTGCGTTTGACGAGAAAAAATAAATAAGTGAATAAAATAGTTAACGAAATAGTAATCAACAGGAGACATAGTTCAGTGAAAAATCCAAACGAGATAATTCAGAATTCTTTTAGTTTAAAAAGTTCGTCTCACATTTAAGAATATGAACTTAAACTACAGAAGGATCACCACTAGGTTCTGTTCCGGGAAATGGCTGATAATCTATTGAACTAACGGACACTTCAGAGCTGTGATGAACCAACAAATCTCACTTGTTGATTCTGAGTTTTCTATTTTGCCAAATTCCTTTTGTGTAAAACTTTACATTACATAACATTACACTACTTGCTAATAATCAGTAACCAGTTTCAACTATAATATCTTTTGACGTTAATGTGTCTTACAGTTGTGTAATATTTCATCTCCCTTCGCAGTTAGGACAGGATATCGTCAAAACAATACGCAGTTCCTTTCTACCACACTTGATCGATAGCGGTCATGAATTAGATAAAAATAAGTCACTCAGAGTGATTTACCATATTCTTACTAGTTTTCCTTATGGGGTTCGATCACGTTCCTTACACATAGCAGAAGCCATGGGGGATTCGAGCTAACAAACCTCTGTATTTATAAGAAATCTGTAACACCGTTATATTTTCCTTGGCCGAATTAGCCATAACAAGAGATTTTACTTATTGTTGTTTTCCATACTCCTTATTCGCTTAGTTTTCTTTACTCCCTCTTTTTCTTCAAATATACACTTCATTGTCCGATTATCTGAACACTTCTTATTATGTAGTCTTATAATTCTCAGTGAATGTTATTTCAGTGTATATATTTTCCAAGTTATTGATCTATTTCCTATAATGAAACACTGACTCAAACCTTTGTTATTCTTATCATCACACTATCAATTTGTACTTTGTTTTTTATTACATTTGTTTATGTCTATCTATTCCACCGTTATCACTTATAAACCACCTTAATTGGTTTAATAATTTCGCAAATGTACATAAATATTACCATATATTAGAGCATGTCCTGATGAGGATCTAATTGAAAGAAATATTGTTCGCTTATATATGTTGTTTCAATAATCCAAGTATTTATACGAACTAATAAACTTCAATTTATCTATCACTGTCATTGCATATTCTTTACATTCATAACACTTGTTTCCAATTCTAGTGTACTCATTGAACATTTATTTTATTGTAACAGTTTCCATTCTAGCGCTCTTCATTCCCATTTTAGATTGTTGTCTACCTTTGTAGTTTCGACACAGCTATTCGTTATCAAATAGTTTATCCTATGTTGTTGTAAGTAACCTTTATATATCCATTTTAGGAAGCATCCTTATCTGATTTATACTAATACGATAGATTCTGTAGACAACTCACGTATTCTGCTTTGTAATGCATGCCCGCCATATATTTTCATAATCACAGTACCATATTCAAGATTATTTTGCGTTTTTGATTTCCACATTTTACGCATCTCTTAATCGTGTGGTTAGAAGCTTTAGTCCAGTCCTATACAAATTTCTTTCATATCACGGCACGATTTCATTCAGTGAACAGCTCCCAGCTTTTCACAACCAGTCCCACAGTTGGTAAATCCTGCACAATGTGAAAGTCACAGGGATGACATTCGTAAACATATCCCAAGTCTAGATTTCAGGATGTTGACATCAATTGAGTTATCGCCACTGTGCCTGAACACGTATTAATGAACTTCTGGGTTACCAACATGGTGTAGCCAATGAATGTAAGCAATCCTTGAGAGACAAAAACGATCGAATACAAAGTCGCCGAAAATCCTAAACTCAGAGAGGTTAGTTTTCGCAAGCATGGAGCTGCTGTCAAAAACGCCTTAAAGACGTGACGTTTTGCAGCTACACTAACAGCACGGCGGAGCTAAGAGGAAGCCAAATCTGCATAACCTGCTCCAGTTTTCACTATGCGTAGATTGATCTCATCAACCATACCACCGCCAACACACATAACTAGAAAGGTCATCGTAGTCCAACAACCAAAAAATTAAGAAATGTTTTTTTGTTTGCAACAAATTACAAATTAACAAAGATGCCATGTATATGTTTTATTAATCTGGGAGACGCACTAATGTACTAAGAGGACAGAAAAAGTAGTGGAAATAAAGCTTCTACTCAAAAGATGAAGCCACAGAGCTACAATCCTACCTGAAACCTCACTTAGAGAATTCTCTCTTTTATATGTTGATTGTATTCCCACATTAGCCTCTTAAAATTATTCAGGTAACAACAAAGTATTCGAGTTTAAAAATCATGGGATTCAAAGTATTGGATTGTACAGAAATAGCGTGTGTATATCCGCCCCCAATGCCTTGGTACGGCCGAGAGTGGAGAGAGTCAGCTCTCCCTCTCGAAATGCTCTCACATGGCTACGTGCATACAACCACTGCCAGGGAAGTCCAACTCACTGCCTTCTCGTGGCGGGGGTGTTGTTTACGGAACTGTGAGAACGAAAAGCAAATGTTCGGAACTTTAACCGGGGTGGTTATGTGGAGCATATATGTTTGGTGCCTCCTTGTATCAATCTTTATGTGTTTAAAAAAATGAATAAATAAATAATCTACCTACAGTTTCGTAAAACTAACTTGAATAGAAACTTAAAATTCAAAAATGTCGATAAATATAAA